CACATGCAGCTTTTATGTATGCACCAGACACCATCTACATCTCCTCTAATGTAGTGTAAAGCATATCATTCCACCCTCAGGAATCTGATCATGCTCAAGCATACCATACCACATGTACCATGTCATGCCAGATCATATATGTATATACCAAACCCCACCACACCATAGGTTTCACACCATGCCATGTTACCTGCTGCAATGCACCTCTGCCACATCATACGTGGTATAATGACACAGATTAAGTGTAGCATGTATCAGTCCATATCCTAGATCCTATTCTACTGACGTGATTACATATTAGAACTGATACACCTAACTGCTTACTTCTTTGGAACATCTACACATAGTTGTATGTATATGCACCTAGCTACCTACCAACCAAGCTAAATGTACCTAGATTTCTAGCTACCTACCTGCCTATGTGGAGACCTCGGCTACTAGCTATATCTACCCATATACCACTTGTGTACCTACATATATATATATATGTATATATATACACATATATATATATATATAAATACATACATACATACATACATACATACATACATATATATATATATATTATTGTATATATATATATACATAGATACTCCCAGGGTCCAGTGACTTCCAAGGACAGCTTCGATATGGAGCAGGAACTCTTGGATGTGAACAAGCGTCTGAGGCTTCCAACGGGGGTGACGCCGGTGCCGGACTTGAAGCGCAGCCGACCGATGGCTGCATCCGATGCCAGCCAGGGCGGTGTGCCCACGAGTAGCAGTGCCCGCGAGATGGCTTTGCAGGGGCTTCCTCAAGAGCACTTGACACCGCAGAAGCAAGGACCAGGTGCAGTAGAACACCCAGCTGCCCCAGTGAAGCTGCCTAGCCCCGAGAAGCCCGTTGTGCCCAGTCCTCGAAACCTCATGCCACTGCTCGAACAGACAGTGTCCAGGCATGACAAGTCGATGTTTCAGCTTGGGTGGGGATGTGAGGGAGGAATCCGTATATATATATAT